ATGTTCCATTAGTGCTTCCAACTATATAGTGAGAAAGATACTGTATCTCAAATTCAAAATTAAGCCAACAGAAAAAATGATTGAGATTTTAAAACTTAATCTCTTAAGAAACAATCTTAGCAGAGACCCCTAGATGGGGCTGTAACTTCACAAATACAACAGTTTCCTCAGAATCTTCAGTAATTTATTCAGTCTAGATTGCTGGTGTTAAATTGAGTGTAATTCTGAACCACAATTGCAATCTTGCTGTTCTTAATTTTAACTCAGTGTTATTATGAGCCTACTATTCATAATTCAGGCATTAAGTCCCAGCTGTGGTCATTCATCTTCGAAGAATGCCCTATGATAAATAACATTTAATAAAAATTAAACACTGAGAATAACAATGATATATACACATCAGAGGGTTTCTAATTTTTCTTTTTGTTGAGGAGGACCTAAGTTAATGGAGGGAGGGGTGGGAGAGGAAATCAACCAGGCTACTATTTACCTGGGCCCAAAATGTTACTGCATCTTCCACATGACTTCCAACCACATCTTCAACTAAAAACAAATCATAATGCAAACAAAGTTAGAAATTAATCAAGATTACCTAGCTCTTTACAACCAAAAATAATTTTTAGTGTCAGTACCTTTATTGTAATGTGTATTTTCATCCATTTGGACAATTCCTGAAAAACTGAAACAATTCAATAGATTGAATTAGGTTCTATTAATCTGTCCATTAACAGTGAATAAAGACTAAAGCATTTAATGTTCAAATTTCTCCAGTATGTTTTGTTCTAAATAAAGTTATCAAAATTCAAACTCTATACTACAAGACGATCTCAGATATTTTCTTCAGTAATTATTTTGTTCCTAGTATACTGTATTTTGCTATTTCATCACATGCAATATCTGTCTTTGAAATTATCTTCAACCAAACTTTTACAAATTTACGTTGAAGTGTATAATTTACGCACATTTTGATCTGTTGCATGAATACTTCAAAACAATATGCATATTCCTTTAAAAGAACTGATGCCCCTCCAAGAGTAGGACTTCGACGATTTAAATAAAAAGTACAAATACATATAAAACAAATGCTTCAGGCTGATATTTAATCTTTAAATAAAAATATCAATTCTATTTAAAAGGCATAGTGGTTTTTGCTTTTAAAGATATCTTACATTTAAAAACTGCAAAATGAATCAAATTTTACCTATAGCTTCAAAAATAATTTTCACTATATAATATGCTTTCCCAGCTGCAAAATATTTCAAAATAAAAGTCTACTAGTTTATAATTTTATCCTTAATACACTAGAACATTGCACTTCACACGCATCACCGTTAGCTCTTTGAAGGAGATTGAAAATAACAGATTTTTTAAAGAACTTTAAAAGCTGACTAAGAACATCACTACACCAAAAGCTCCAAATGCTCTCTGAACTATGAAAGAAGTTAATACTTTGTCATGGGGGGAGGGGGTATCATAAAAATTTTTTAAACTTTATTCTGATTTTTGTAACAACTTAATTTTTTTTTCACTCGGTAACATCATAATATCTTGAAAACAAGGATCCTTCCTCGATTACTGGCCAAAAGTAATTTTAAATTGAGCAAAAAGTTGTAAATCCAAAGTTGGAATCTGTTCAGGGCTACTATATTCCTCGGGAAGACATCGACTTAAACTTAGTAAAAATTAAAATGTTTGTTTTGGAAACTGTACCACACCATTTAAAAAGCCATTACTAGAACAACTTTAAAATCTTATTTTCAAAGGGGTCAAAAAGACTTTTCTGCAATGATTCTGAAGGAACTGACGCGGCATCCACTTTCTGCAAACCTGGATTACCACACGGCACTTCCAAAACTTCAATTCACATCGAGAATTTGGAAAGAGCGAGTTCACATCGCTCCTTGACACCTATTTCATGAGGGATTTCGAAGTTCAAATGGCACAGAATTTGCGGAAAGAGGGAATACCACCCTACAAGAGGCCTACACGTCCCCGTCTTCACCCAGAACACGCAAGGCCCAGGTATCTGCAAGGCGGTTTTGCCTCCCGGTACCAGTCAGAAACTGGGGTCCCCGTCACCATCAGAAGCGGGCAGGCAGGCCGAGAGGCTCGGAGACAAGAAGGCCCGGAACTGGGCCTCGCCCTTACTTGTAGACCTAAACACAACCAGGGGTGAAAATACAGTCCTTGAAGCAGCCACCAATGAACCTACCAAACGTACTACTACTGACCTCACGCTTTCTGCCATAGAAGTTCTAGAAAAGCGACCCCAGACCCCACAGCTGGGTCCTCAGGCCTCCGCGCCGCCACTGTGGCTCTCCGTCAGCCCGGCGTCGCGCACGTGCAGAGACTTACCCTGCGGGCCTCCTCCGCTCGGGCTCCACACTGCGCTTGCGCGCTTGTTGCTGCGCCATCACCCTGGCTTGGCGTGAGCAGCTTCCTCGTTCACGTGACCGCCGAGGACCTACCTAGGGCGAGGCCTGCGGGGTGGGGCGATGCACGCGGAAAGCAACGCACAGAGGCTGCGCGCGCAAGACTTACGGGGAGTATTTCCTGCACCTGCGGACTAATGGCCACTTTTAATAGGGCTTCAAATACTGACAGAAGATGTGGCCTTTCCTAATCGATACACGCTGGTTTAAATTTTAAAACAGCCAAATTGAAAGAATCTCAGCATTCTTTTTTTTTACAAGGTAGAAAGGAGAAAATGACATTGGTAAATGAAAATGTGGTTTTTAGATTAGTAGCTTTACAAGCATTTCTCAGTCCAAACTTAGCATCAGATCTTTTGTGTTGTACATTTTTTCCATGAGAGTAAGGCAGGCTGGGGAGGTGAGGAGATTAATTCAGTTTATCTGTCTGGTTATATGCAGATATTACACTCTGTGGCTGGCAAACCTTGACAGTTGGAAGTTATCTCCATGGATTTTTAACAGCTTGATTGAGGTATAATTAGTATATAATAAACTGCAGTTATTAAAAAGTACATAATTTGGGGAGGGTATAGTTCAGTGGTAGAGCACATGCTTAGCATGCATGAGGTCCTAGGTTCAATCCCCAGTACCTACATTATAAATAAATAAATAAATACATACATACATAAATACATAACCTAATTACCTATCTCCAAAAAATTAAGTGCATCATTTGGTAGGTGAACATATGCATATGTCATTGAAATCATCCTCATGAAGATAACAGTCATTCCTTCACCCCCGTAAAACTTTTCTAATGCCCATTTATAATTCTTTACTTCCCCTATCTACCCCAAGTAACAGTTGCTGCTTTCTGTCATCATACATTAGTTTGCATTTTCTAGAATTTGGTGTTAATGAAATCATACAGTATGTATATTTTGTCTGTTTTCTTTCATTCAGCATAATTATTTTTAGATTCATCCATTTGGTCATATATATCAATAGTTCAATGCTCTTTATTGCTGAGTACTATTCCACTGATATTACCTGTGAGTTTTCAGTAGACACCCTTTATCAGATTGAAGAAATCTATTCTTAGTTTGCTGAGAGTTTTTATCATGAATGTTGTTCAATTTTGTCCAATATTCCTGCATCTATTGTGATGATCAGTGGTTTTTTTGTAGTTTGCTAAAGTGATGAATTACACTGACTAATTTTCAAATGTTAAACCACCCTGCATCCTTGGATAAAACCCACTTGGTAATGATGTATTAGCCTTTTTTATATCTGCTTGTATTAGATTTGCTAAGGCAAATTAATATTTGTTAAAATTTTTTGCATCTGTGTTCAAGAGGGATACTAGTCAGAAATTTCCTTTTATTATAATGTTTTTAATTGGTTTTGATATCAGAGCAATGTTGGCCACACAGAATTAGTTGTAAAGAATTCCTAATTTCAATTTTCTGGAAAAGTCTCTATAGAATTGGTAATCTTTGTTCCTTAAATATTTGGTAAAATTGACCGTGCAGCCATCTGGGTCTGGAATTTTCTTTGTGGGAAAAATATTAACTACAAATTCAGTCTCCTTAGTTGATATACAGGCTAATCAGCATATAATAGACACAGGGCTAATCATCTATTATTTTTTATTGGATAAGCTTCATAGTTTATGTCTTTCAAGGAATTTATCCATTTCATCTAAGCTGCCAAATTCATTCCCTTATAATCCTTTTACTATCTATAGAATCTATAGTCTACTCTTGTTCCTAACATTGGTGAATCATGTGCTCTCTCTCACTCTTTCACTCTTTCTGTCTTGGCTGATCAGTCTAGCTAGATAGAGGTTTATCAATTTTATTGGTCTTCTCAAAAAAAAAAACTTTTGGTTTTATTCATTTTCTCTATTGCTTTTCTGTTTTCTATTTCTATTTCTGCTCTGATCTTTATTATTTCCATTTTCCTATTTTAGGTTTCATTTGCTCTTCTTTCTCTAGTTCCTTAAGGTGAAAGCTGAGGTCACTGATTTGAGACCTTTTCTGATAAAGGCATTTGGTGCTATAAATTTCCCTCTAAGTACTGCTTTAGTGGAATCTCACACATACTATGTCTTCATTCTCATTCCATTAAAAGTACTTTGATGCTTTTGATTTTTTTCTTTGACCCGTGGATTATTTAGACATATGTTATATAACTTTCAAATATTTAGAGATGTCCCAGATATCCTTGGTTTTCTAACTTCTTCTGTTGTAGTCAGAGGACATAATTTATGATCTGAATCATCTTAAAAGTATTGAGACTTTTATGGCCTAAAATACACTCACTCTTAGTAAATGCTCCATGTGCACTAAAAAAAAAATGTGCACAGTAGTCCCCTCTTATTCACAGTTTCACTTTCCAGTTTCAGTTACCTATGGTAAACCAGAGTCCAAAAATATTAAATGGAAAATTCCAAAAATAAACAATTTGAGTTTTAAATTATGCACCCTTCTGAGTAAGCATGATGAAATCCTACACTGTCCTGCTCCATTCTGCCCCTTGCTCAAAGGCAAAGCGTAACACAAATGTTCAAAAACAGGTAAATTTATTTGGGAAGTGATCTTACGGAACCAGAGACAGGGATCAAGGAGTGGAAAGCAGAAAAAGAGAAAGCTAACATAAGGATTATGGGGTTTACCACTGCAATGGGTGACTAGTGCTCAATCCCACAGGATTTTCTGAGGAAGCTTATGAAAGGCATCTCAGAACTGTCCTCCTAGCAGATAGAAGGGGAGTATTTATCTATCGGCTTCCACCTCCCTAATAGTCAAGGCTGGTCCCAAGTCATTAACCCACCCATATATTTCATACATGTTTGATGCAGAGGGGTTCCAGTGGGCATCCCAAGTGACATCCACTGTGTCAGAGGATCCCTAGAGAAGAAAGCAAGACAGTAATGACATGGTCCCAAGACAAAGTGCCATCAAATGGCTTCCATATGAAGCTGTCAGAAGTCTGCCTGGAAGTGTTTCATAGCAGTAGTAGAGTAAGAAGTGGGCCAAGAGAACTTGAAGTGGCACACAGGAGATGTCAATACACTTATATACAATGCAGAGTTTAACAAAACAACTTAAAATTTTATCATTAGATACCACTGGAAGATGATTAAATAATTTTAAAATACAGTTTTTTATTTTAAAACATAAATCAACATTACAAAGTTTGAAAAATCAAACAATTAAGGATTTTAACTGTTTTGAATGAAATACTTATATATTTGTTCAAAACTCTCAATATATTTAATTTTTAATAGCCTAAAAAAGTTAAATTATTATAAACTAAAAACATTTACTGTACTTTAAAGTTTTGACTAACATGAAAATAACCATGTTTGTTAGGAGAGAGGAAAAGTTTATACAAAGTAGTAAATCGTGAATTTTGACAAAAGTGATACAAGGTATTTTCACTAATTTAAATAAATTAAGGGAACATCCAAAAAGACATTTTTACACAATAAAAGAAGTAAATAATTTGAAGGAAAATAAACTGCATTATTATATTTAAATAATTAACAAAAAAAGACACATTTGGACGATATGTTTTAATTTCCCCGGTAGTCTTCATGAAGGTTTTGTAGTTGATGGCAATGCTTTTCCTTTCTGCTTAGCAGCCTTTTCCATTTTTATCTGAAAATTTAAAATATTTGTTGATACAGTAATTTGTAAAACATCCTAAAGAAAAAAAAATGGTTGCACATACCTCATTTGGATTCATGTCTTAATTAGCACAGTTATTAAGCTACTAAATACTAAAGCCAAAATCTGTTGAATGGATCCAACTGTATTTTTTTATTGTAATGTAAGAAAAATATTTAATATGAGTAACTCATACACACAGTGCATAAAAGGAATGTATTGCATCCATGTATTGCCTTTGAACTTCATAGTCAAGAACTTGTGCTATGACATTGTATTTTTAGAGTCTGAATTCTGGCTAACAAGTTATTTCTTGGGATAACTACATTTTTAAATTAAATACAGTTTGTTGGGGTATGCAAGCTTCCAACTCCTCTCCATCCTCCTTCTCCTCTCTCTCAGAGCCAGGGCAGATTTCAGTAATGTCCTAGAGACAGAGAGAGAATGGACTAGAGGGAAGGGGAAGAGGCAGTCACACACACAGACACAGCACACAGGAGAGACTCAAAGAGTGTTGGCTGAACAAAGGGTTGAATGCCCATGACTCACAGAAGGAGCACAAAAGCGAGACCCCCGCAGAGAGGGGGCCTGTCAGGGGCTCTGTTTCTCTCTACCTCAGTGTGTGTGTGTGTGTGTGTGTGTGTGTGCGCGCGCATGCATGCACATGCTCGCGTGCATGCACATGCTCATGTGCGTGCTAAAGAATGACAAAGTTTTTAATTAAAAAAATCAAGTATGGTTTGATTTCAACTTTACAAAAGCATTTCAATAAAAATAACATATAATGAATATTGCTTTGGTGAAATTATTCATTTTAATTGCCACTAATGTTAAAAGAAAAAAGATTAAATGTCTAATGTTACATCTAGCCTATGCACATTCCCTACAGGGTTACAGAATACACCTAATCCAGTTGGATTATCTCTGGAACACACACTGCTTAAAAGACAGCTTCCTATAATTCTGATTTCTACATTTCTGACAGTTATCTTCCTGAAGGCTGCCCTTCTCCAGTGAAACTGAAACAAAGAAGCTTGCATACCCTTAAGTAGCACCCTTCTGACCTTTTAGAAACATATAAACCACTTCCATGGGGAGAAAAAAAGACTCCAGAGAACACAAAACCCACCTTCCTCGTACTACCACTCATACACACACCAATTCCCAGAGGCAGCACCACTGTCTCATCCCTGAGAAGAGGGGGAGAGAAAATATGGGGCATAGTGGTGGAGGCAAGGCCTCTTACTTTCTCATGTGACAGGAATAATAACAAGAACCCAGAAGGGACCTGGTTTTCAAACCAGTCTACCCAATCTCACCACACTGCAAATAATTCATCCAGTAATAAAACTGGATGAATCCCACCTTTGTCTCTCCCCCATTTTTTCACTTTTTCCCTCTCTCCCCTCTTTGAGATGGTTGGGAACCTCACTTAAAAATCATACACTCATATTACTCTTGTACACTGTGCCAGTCAATAGGTCATCTGAAGGATGCCCAAAGAACACTCCATTCTAAGGCAAAGATTACAGGCCTTGGAATCAGATAGAAGAGTACTTGAATCCTGCCTCTACCATTTATTAACCATTTGAGGCAAGTTATGTAAGCAATAGTTCCATTTGTTTAGAAAAAATAAAAGGGTCATAGTAATAGGTACTATGTAATAGGGTTGTTCTAAAGGTGTAAATAAGATCATATATATAAAGACGTAGGTACTTAATAAGCACTCAATAAAGCTAGTCTCCTTACCTCTCTCATTTAGGGCCAAGTTAGATCTTCAGTAACGTCAAAAAAGAGCAAAGATGCTAAACAAATAAAAGTCAAAGCAGTGTCTGTTCATTTCAAATAGTACTTTGCATATCCATCTACCTAATACAGTGTTCGAAGAGCAAAGATACCTCCTCTTGCTCCTTTTTTTTTAATTTCCTGGCATTAACACAGTGCCTTGCACCTAGTTGACCTTCAATAATTATTTCCTTAATAAAATTCTCCTTTCTTGGGTAAAAGAGACCAAAGGTCATTCACAGGGGAAGAAAACAAGTAGATCTAATACATAAAAGAAGCTAAGAAGCAACTCTTCAATAATATATAAAAGTAGTTAGTAAGCTATGTTACCGTAAAGGCTTCAATTATCAAAATCAACTCACACTGATCATAGATTCTTTCCTGCACCAAATGATATCAATGATTAGCAAAGGGTACAAGTGAAAACCAGATACAGACATAGCACTGCTTTCTAAAGGGGCCCTGGACCCATCAGATTCAGCTTCCTAATCCTCCATTTTCCCTCAATGGTGCGTGTTTTAGTTTTTCAGAATAAAGAGCAAGTACAAACAATGTGTATGGTACACATCAGCTCAGAGGAAGTTGTTTCAGTTTGAGCTTCCTAGTTTTTATATTCCATTAATCACAAGGCTGGAGAGTTTATAAGCTGTATCTCATAAATCCATAAATCACACAGGCTGGAGAGTTATAAACCACATCTCATAAATCCATAAATTCTAGGTCTATTTGTAATAAGCAGTCCGCATGGCTCAAGCATATTCCCTAAAACATTCACAGGTAAGAACTCCTCCCGCCCCCCATTATCTTCCGACAGGCAAATAATACCGGCATGTTCTCGAGGCAGTCAACACCACCCAAGCTTCTGTAGGAGGGAGGGAAGGAGTCTGAGAACACTGTGCCTTGCAAGCCCGTGAGGCAAAACCAAAATTCAGCTGTGAATGTGTGTTCCAAGAACAGAGACTGATTTCATTAAAACTCTATCCTTGATGCTGCTGCAAAAACAGCCTCTTCTTTCCTCACTCTGACCATTTCATCTTCCTCCCTTAGGTTTTACTACCACCTCTTTCTCTTAGAGCAGAGATTTCCAAAAGAACTTTCTGCACTGTCCAATAAGGTAGCCGCTAGCCACATGTAGCTACTGAGCCCCTGAAAGGTGGCTAGTGTGACACAAGGAAATAAAATTTTCATTTTCATTGATTCAAACTTGGACTCTTACAGCCACATATGACGAATGGCGGTAGCACAGACAGAGTATCTCATCACTGCAGAGAGTTCTGTTTTCTAGCTCTGCCTCAAATCATATCCAGGACTCTCCTCCTTTACCTCAACACTCTTCATTAGGAAAAACCTGCTAATCTGCCTGTCCCCTACTCATTTCCTCTGCTCTTGGATGGTGAATTGATTTAACGGTCTCACTTTCCCACACCTTCAGTTACTCAGCAAGCTCTTATCTAAGGGTTCTAGAGAATACAACAAAAAGCGACAAGTGTCTTTACTTCCATGGCACTTACCGCCTAGTAGGAGAGATAATAAACACACACAAAGCAACTATAAAGTAAACCTAAGGAAAGCACCCTGGCGAATGTACCATATGGCTGCATACCATCCCCCATGCCTCATCAAGCCAGCACCCCTTCATCTGGCAATAAACAAAAAACCCCCAAAACTCTCAAATATGAACAGTGCCAATGAAATCGATCAAATGGCAAATGTATAAGAAGATGACATGTCTGAAAGCAAATATCAATTAGATCTGTGTCTACTTTTTCAATTTTCCACAAATATTTATTGAAAACTTATTATGTATAGGCCCTGTACTTAGTTCTGGGGAAAACACAAAGAATGAAATACTATGTTTATTCTCGAAGAGTGTACAGTGTGGTGATGAACTGATGGAAATTATCACTACTGAAAGCAGGGAACACATCAATACTGCAGTTGTTGAGCCCTGAAAATTTTTAAAATACGTTTATGTTAAGTGTTGTTTCTTAAAGGCTACTGCGTAATTCTAACTTGATATACCTAGAAGCCACTAAGGAGAAGAAACACAATACATTAATAACCCAATACACACATAATTTATAAATTTGCTGATGGTTGATGTTTATTATTGACAATTTCATATGTAGTCAATCTTTGTGACCTCCATAAATTAACCAGTGTATTATATACCAAATTCATTAGTCCTGTTTCTCTCTGAATTGTCCTAAATAAGTCTTAAAGCCTAACATCAGCTATAAATAAAGACTTCATAAATTATTTTTCATGATGATCCACAATCAATATATAATTATTCTACAGTGTCTCTGTTACAAGTAAATGCTTAATGCAGATTTTTCCCACAGACTTACCCTTTCCTGGTACCGTCTTTCAAAGAAAGCCATATCATCCTCTTCAGGTTTACTTAAGGAAGAAACTTGACTACTTGTACCTACTAATAAGGAAAAAACATTCTAAGTACAGTTGACTCTTGAACGACATGAGTTTGAACTGTGCAAGTCCACATACATACAGATTTTTTTCAATAAATCCCTACTACACATTAAACAGTAGGTATATATTGAAAATAACAGTACTATATAATTCTGGGTTGGTTGACTCTCTGGATGTGGAGGACATATGGATACACAGGAACTGTGTAAAGGAAGGGTCAACTATAAAGTTGCATGAGGATTTTCATCTGCACGGGGGTCAGCGCCCTTAACACTGCTGTGTTGTTCAAGGGTCAACTGTAATATGTAATATATTTATATAATTACTAATTCTCCTGAAATACAAAAAAGCAGAAAGAAACCTTTCTTTCTACCCAGTGATTATTTTTCATTTTTCAAAGCAGAAATGCTCTAAATGAATCATTGATCCTACTCCCTACCTCTTTTTTAGAAAGCAGAGCATCATAAGATGAAAGTAATTTTCATTGGCAAATATTCTCCAAATACTTAAGTGGTTCATATTAAATAACACTATATAGCTATTTCACATAAGAGCACACTTAGCTTTGCTCAGCTACATTTCACATTTATAGCTAGAAACGCATGTGACACTATAACAGATAATGCACAGAAGTAACTATTGAAGGTCTGTACTATGGTATGAATGTTTGTGTCTCCCTGAAATTCATATGTTGAAATCCTAATGCCCAATGTGAAGGTCTTTGGAGGTGGGCCTTTGGGAGGTTCTCAGGTCATGAGGGTGGAGCCCTCATGAATGGTATTAGTTTCCTCTAAGAGACCCCACAACCCTTCCGCCATGGAAGGACACAAGAAGGCACTGGCTTTCACCAGAACACAACCAGGCTGGCACCTCTGTCCTGGACTCCCCCATCTCCAGAACTGTGAGAAGTAAGTTTCCGTTGTTTATAAGCCACCCAGACTATGGTATTTTGTTACAACCACCTAAACAGACTAAGACCATATGTGCAGGCAACCATAAGTGATGCTACTACCTGCTTCGAAATTTTTCAAAATAATTTTAATCATTTTCCATGGTATTCATTTTTTTAAAACTTATCAAGAACTAATTGACATGCTGAAAGAAATTTAAAATTGCTTCAGGAAGGAAAATCTGATCCTTTTTTTTTTCTTTTTATTTTTTTGCTTTCCAATTTTTTTTTCCTTTTCCGGTTTTATTAGGTTGAATTATTACAGTTCAACTGCAACATACATTATATTGCATGTAAATACATATATACAGTATACTGCACTTTTTTTTAGTTTACATATATGTACTGATCATTGTTTCTAAGAGCAGATTAGAGCTTTAGCTTTTTACACGTGCATAGTTATCAAAGGAAATCTGGTTTTTTCTCTAGGCATACCAAGCACCTAGTTCCATAGAAGAGTTCACCTTCATTTTAGGTGAATGTCTTGGTTTGGGTCCCTTCACGTCCAAAACAGAAAATCAACCTGAACACCTATTTTCATTTTTCAAGCATATGAGTTCACCCTCAACCAGCAACAGAAAAATCATATTAACTCCAGACACTCACCGCAGAGTATAATCACACTCTGTCAACAACTATCTAACAAAAGCCTTGCTAAGAAAAACTGCTTAAAATATATGCCATCTATCCGTTCATCTGAAAACTCTGGGTCTTTTCATGGATCACACTGGACCGTTTGAGCTAAGCTTCTTGCAAAAATCACCTTCAATGAGTTAAGTTTTTTGGTATGTTACCATTTTAATGGTATGTTACCATTTATCTGGTAAAATCGGATGTTACCACTTTTATCAAAGGTAAGCATCAGAAATGACCAACCATATGCTGTATTTGCCGGAAAAAAAAAGTTTTTAAGAAACAGGGGCCACTGCATTACTGAGGGTCACTATATAGACATCTTTAAAATCTAGCATTGGGGGGAGGGTATATAGCTCAAGTGGTAGAGCACATGCTTAGCAAGCACAAGGTCCTAGGTTCAATGCCTAGTTCCTCCTCTTAAAAAACAAACCAAAACAAAAAAAACCTAATTACCTCCCCCTGCCAAAAAAAATAAAATAAAATAAAATCTAGCATTGGTATAACTTTCATTAGTACCAAGGAATTCAAGTTTCCTCCTTTCTAATGATGAAAAGTATTTATCTGATCACACCTTCCTTTGTGCCTTGGCTGCCACTACACTTAGTCAAAACTGCAGCTTAATGCAGCAATTACATCAACCTTGAAAGCTGACACAACTCACAGATATAGAGAACAAAGTAGTGGTCACCAGTGGGGAGAAGGAAGTAGGAAGAGGCAAGACAGGGGTGGGGAAGGAAGAGGTACAAACTACTACATATAAAATAAATAAGCTATAAGGATGTATTGTATGGCATAGGGAATATAGCCAATATTTTATAATAACTTTAATTGGAGTATAACCTATAAAAATTCTGAATCACTATGTTATATACCTGAAACTAATACTGTAAATCAGCTATACTTCAATTGTTTAAAAAGTTGACACAATTATGTCCTTTTCTTTTTTGTTTCGATTTCTTACTTCTATCTACATTTTATAATTACTTCATTGTATGTTGTTTTGTAAGCAGCCTTAGAATCCCTTGTGGAAATAGTCAGGGTACATGAAAAGGTTGTATGACAATACAAATAAAGCAAAGAAATTTCTCATTTTAAAATATTTTTAAATGTTAAATGCCTCATAAATTATACAAATTCCTTCTTCATTGTTTTCATTCTTGTTTTCAATAAAAGAAATAGGAAACTTAAACTTGATTAAAAATGCATTCTATTCATTTTTATGTGTAATTTATAAATGGTAAAACCTTGCTAACCTATCATCAATGAATTACATCTTGTTTGGGAGAGCCTAAAGGATCAAGGCAATTAGTCCACTAGAGGGCTCTCTCATTCCAACATCAAAGTGATAATATGTGCCAGAATAAGGTTTTTAAACTTCAAATTTTTATGTTATCAGAATCCTCATAATTCTCAGATTTAGCAATTTTTCCCAATTAAAAATTAAGTTTCTTGCTTTTTCTCAGTGCCTGGCCAATATAAAAGTAAAATGATAATCAGATTGTGGTCATATTGGAGGAAAAAAGAGTAATCTGGAAAATGTATCAATCTATATTCTTATTTACTACATCCAAAAGTATTTCTCAACTTAATTTCATTACCATCTGTTAGTGTTTCTGGAGAAGAGCTAGATGATGCCTGAAACACTCTGAGAAACGGATGGTCCGTGGCTGCAATTGGAGAGTCTAAAAGTTCAATTGAAGGGGCACCTGAGAAGAAAATATGTGAAGAATGAAAATTCAATCTCTATTTGTTAGGACACAAAGAAGTTATTTCACACATGAAATAAATGAGAACCCCATAAGAGTCATTAGAAAAATTCCTTCCATAAAAAGAAAAATTTTATTTAGATTTTTATCTGCCATATAAAGTAAAGGCAAATGGGTAAAAGTATTTCTGCACTTCTCAGAGACCTTTTTCACAGGAAACAATATATATACATATTACACACAAATGTAACTGTATGTCAGCAAAAAATGTAAAACCTTAATATACCTATGAAACATTATCAAAAGCAAGACATCCACAATAAAAAAAAAAACCTCTAGCTGAAGAGGGCAGAATAAGTGTATTTTTCGTCTATTCTTCACTGGGAAACCATCTAAAAACAAATTATGAAACACAAAGAAAACTTCAATGAAATGACGAAACGTCCACAACCCTAAACCCTAGACTACAAAGGCCAACTGAAGGAAGCTGCAGAGAAAATCAACAAGTGCTCTGCCTTCTTCACAAACCATCCCCACCCCCATATGCCTACCCCATACCACAGGCAGAAGGAAGGAAATAAACATTTAGTCCTATTTGGTTTTTAAAGTTAGTCCTCTCTTATAATGTGAACAGTGCGGGAATTTCTCAGTCCTTCAGATCCCTGCCCCAGCCCCTCACTCCTGTGGCTTGTGGAAGATCAGAGAAGGGGGCTCAGGTCCAGCCAGGTCCTCTTGCTGTCCTCTGTCTGCTGTGTGCACGACTGATCTTAAACTTTCAAGACCAGCATAAGCTGTCCTTTAGTCTCTCAGCTTGGTAGGGCCTGGCAGCCTCACACTCTCTCACTAGAGGTACAGAGCCCTCCAATGCCTGCCACTTTTTCTACTGAATCCCCCAGTGCTCAGGGGACCCACCTTCAGCCCTGCTATGGAGTCCCCATTACCCCTTGCTGTGACACATGCCATGCTGCTGCCTCACAGCTCAGCTGCCTTCCAAGCACCCACTGTGGCTACAAATCATGGGCTCTCTCCACATCATAAAGAAACCAAATTCCAGCAAGAGGTCATCTCTGTCCAAGATTCCACATGGCTCACAGAGCAGGTGTCCCTCGGCTCCAGGCTCCCTGACGTCCAAAATCAAGACAAAAACATCTCATGCTTCCTCTCCTCACTCTCACCTTTCTTCACTCCACCTTCTCTCAGGGTCTTATAAAGATACTTAAGTGATAAAATAGCAGAAGTCATAAAAAGGCAAAGACACCAACTACTACCACTATTACTTAGCACTGTTCTGAAAGTACCTGCCATTTTGATGGGTCAAGAGTAAGAAGAGTAATATTGTAATATTGGAAAGGAAGAGGCAAAAATATCATTACAGTTGACCCTTGAACAACACAGGAGTTAAGGGTGCCAATCCTCTGCGCAGTCGAAATATGCATATAATTTTACAGTTGGCCCTTGGTATCCATGGTTTCACATCCACAGATTCAAACCAGCTGCAGATCGTGTAGTGCCGTAGTGTTCACTATTGAAAAAAATCCACCTATAAGTGGACCCTCACAGTTCAAACCGCTGTTGTTCAAGGGTCAATTTTATTTGCAAAATCAATGAAAGATTTACATTTAAAATTCTACGATTAAGTAATGATGACTGGTAACAAAAGCAGCAGAAAACATTTGCTTTTTTATAAACAATCTAATACAATCATGTATCCATAAAAATTTTAAAATGATTTATATATGGAATTTAATAAGATAGTTGTAAAATAACCTGGAAGAGAAAATGCACAAATGTATCAAGGTAATCTTGAAAAAGAGCACAAACAGGAAGAATTTACCATACCAAGTATCAAAACACATTATGAAGAATAATAATTTAAAAAATAAAATATTGGCACAAAATAGGCAAATAAGCCAATAGCATAAAACAGAAAGTATAATAGAATATAGTGAAGATAAAGTTTCAAATTATTCGGGAAAAAATGGTGTTTGGATAAATTGCCATCAATTTGGACAAAAACTGAAGTTACAGACACCTCACACTTTCAGAAAAAGTAAATTTCAGATACATGAGAAAGCTAAACATAAAAGCAAAAAAATTAAGCACTAAAGTAAAATGAAGGAAAATATATAAAATTAGAGTAGGGAAGGTCTGCCTCCAACCTCTAAAAGCTATAAAGAAAACAAATAAATTTTAAAAAACCGAAAGACAAATGACATATTGGGAGAAAATATCTGCAAAATAAATACAAAGGATTAGTATACAGAATATATAAGAGACTTCCTATAAATCAATGAGAAAAGATAAAAATATAAAAATGAGAAAAGTATATGAACAGACAACACATGGAAAGTAAAATGGCCTCTAAATATAAGAAGACTTTCATCTCACCAATAACCAGGGAAATCGAACTGAAACAATGATGACATTTTCACATGTTAGACTGGCAAAAAAACTAAGTTTAATGATATCAATGATCAGCATAAATGTGAGGAAATAGGTAAGCTAAAACATCACTAGAGGAAATATAAACAAGTAGAGCATTTTTAGGGGGGAGGGTATAGTTCAAGTGGTAGAGTGCATGCTTAGGATGCATGAGGTCCTAGGTTCAATCCCCAGTACCTCCATCGAAAAACTAAATAAATAAACCTAATTACTTCCCTCCTGCAAAAAAAAAAAAAGTAGAGCATTTTTGTAGAGCAATTTGACAGAATACATTAAAATTTCACATGTACATGCAAACCCAACAATTCTACTTCTCTCTGTCTACCTTAGAGTTAAATTTGTGTAGTGTACTAGGAAGCAAGTTCAAGGATTTGGGGGGCAGGATTGTTTGTAAAGGCAAAAAAAAAAAAAAAAAAAAAGAAGAAGAAGAAACAATCTAAATGCCATGAACAAGAAAATGGTTTAGATAAACTGATACATATCTATAGTGTGGAATACTATGAAAAAGTTAAAAAAAAAAAGTAATTTGTGTGTCCAGATAACAGGCCTTCAAAATTTTTCTAAGTTAAAAAAAAGTAAACTATAAAAATGCATGTTAAGAAGAAAAATACATTATCATTAGCAAATTACCCTCTAGGAAAGAATCTGGGGTAAAGAGAAATGTTCAAAGGGAACTTGTTCTGCATTTCTATTGCTTGACTCTTATAACAAGAAAATATTCATCTATATTTATGCAATTTTTGTAATGAAAAAATAAAATACATGCTTACTGTAAAAAAAAATTCCATATACATAGAAGTATTTAAAATAGAAAGGAACCGTAATTCTTCCCCAGTCTCACTCAACTCAGAAGGATCCAGCTACCTTCAATAGTTTGAGATAGCTCCAATTAAACTTTTTCATGTATTACCTTAAGTGTTTATATACGCAAGCAGATATGTGTGTACGTACATGTACAGACACACATGCATGCATGTGATCATACATTACAGATGCAAAAACATGAACATACATGCATGTGCATATACACACATGGACACAGGCCTATGTTTCCAGAATCAGATGGTTACAATGGCAAAAATTACAGACAATAGGTAATAGGTAAACTGTATCATATCAAATAAAAGAAATGCTATGCAGCTATGACAAACAAAGGGGTTATGAGTTGGGATTTGGGTAGAAGTACTGGGGTAGGAGTGATCTTTTCTTTTGTGTTTACCAATTTTTTTATAATAATCATATATTGCATAGTAGCATTAAACCTTTTTTAAACAATAAAAATCAAATGAAAGAATGTTTTTTGAAAAAAAAAACCATGAAGAATTTAAAGTGCAAAACAAATATATGGCTTCACTATTGTTAGCACACATAAAAACAGCTCACATTTTTTGTATTAAAACTTACCAATTCCACTGTCATCTAATCGCATGTAGCCTTCTGCCAGTGAGCTGAAGCCAGTTAATCCTCCCATTGCTGCATAAGGAACATCTCGTCCCACTGGCTTTCCCTGAGCCAGTCTTTCTTGCTTAGTTTCCACTACTGTGTCATGGGCATATGCAGGCTGACCACAAGCACAAGTGAAGCAGCTATGAAATCCTGAACACTTAGAACCTGAGTCAACAAGATGTAAAAGAAGTTAAAGGTTTTTAAGTATAGATACTGAGATGTCTGCCCTAAAAATCACTTAGCTTGGCCAAAATCACCTGAATCTGGATTGCTCATATGCTGTCCTCTGGCCCCTGTACCCCTTACCTCTAGCCCTACTGAGATGTCTGCCCTAAAAATCACTTAGCTTGGCCAAAATCACCTGAATCTGGATTGCTCATATGCTGTCCTCTGGCCCCTGTACCCCTTACCTCTAGCCCCTTAACTTCCTCTCAGTCACTGCTCTAGAAAGATGCTAAAGTGGTAAGGGGGTATGCAGCAGAAAAAAAAAAAAACTGGAAAAACCAACTAGGACTAAAGGAAACTGAGCTAAACACTGGCGATCCAGGAAATGTAGGCCCTCTCCTCAAATGCTGAATTCAAAGTAGGTGTGGTAACAGCCCAGTGGTGAAGAGATAATGCAAAAATGTCTCTATGGGTCAATCCCCCAGGAAAGCCATGTTGGAAGAGCAACCCATAGATAAAGAAAGAATGCAAGGGAATACTATTTAACAATAAAAAGGAAAGAAATACTGATGCATGCTATGACATGGATGAATCATAAGAACTATTTAAGTGAAAGATGCCAGTCAGAAAAGACCACATACTGTATGATTCCATTTATATGCAATGTCTGGAATAGGCAAATCCATAGAGACAGAAAGCAGATTACTGGCTATCTAGAACTGAGGGGAGGGAGGACTAATGAGTGACTGCTAATGGACACAGAGTTTCCATTTGGGGTGACGAAAATATTCTAAAATTTATTGTGGTGACAGGTGTACAACTCTGTGAATATATTTAAAATTATTAGATTGTACCCTTGAAACGAATAATTATATGGTATGTGAATTACATCTTAATTGCTATGTATAAAAAAACAAGCCATTGAAATAGAGTCCAGAATACACCATTAACAAAGTCTTTACAGACTCACACTTCTGACAAATGTGTATGGGAATCAAGGTACATAATAAGTTTTACCCAAATACTCCCATACTTAGCCAGTAAAACATATCTGTTCCTGCCACTGTCATTAAAAATATTTTTCAACATATTTCATCATAAGACTTCAATTCAAGATACTACAAAAACAACTGGAAAAACTATCTCCTAAAGAAAAATACTGGACTAATATCCTACCGATTTCAAAGGGTTTTTAAGAAGGATGATCAAGAGAAAGGGCATATAGGATAAGGGCTGGAATTTGGATACAGGTATTGCATATAGTGTTAAAGTCGTCATGTTACATTTTGCTTTCCCCATCAACCTATGTTTTAGGAAATAACATAATAATCTGTTAGCATATTATAAAAATTTTTCATACTTAGAAAATCCTTTTTAAGGATTATTATTCTGTGAATAAAATTCAGTTAATAAAACTTCCACAATTCAAAAATTTGAATTGGATCACATCTAGTGATTCTTTAAAATCTATTACTTATTTGAATTACATGAGGTAAGATATTGAAGTTGATGACAGTGAAGCCTATAAAGAACTCCACTTCTCCACAAAAAGAAAATTTTAGAATAGCTATCCATCAAATTTTTCTTACTTGTTTCATTTTAACAATATAGCTGAACGAAGTTGGCACAGAGACGCATGAAATATTCAATAAAGAATTAAAAGCATCCTATTCGTGTGCTTATCATAAGGAAACTCACAGGCATTGCAGGTAAAGCCAGGCGCAGCGCTGTGCTGATCGGCAAAGTGCTTGCAGCGGCAGCGAACGGGCTGCGCGCCGTTCAGAGGCACGTAGAGGTAAGCCCTGCAGGGGCAGCCAGTCACTCTGCAAGGCAGACTGATGGGGCGCTGCTGAGGAATCGCTTCAAAATCCGTTTTATGCTGCTTATACCTGAAAAAAATCAAAGGGAAGGGGGAAAAAATGCAGGGATTGCCAGAAATTACAACTGCTATTCTTTTAGATGCAAAATGATTCTTTATCCTTTTCATTTTGGTTTCGTTGTTCTTGTTAGTAAGGTGAAATACACTCCCATAACATGCAGTATTTGTCAACTCTGTTGCTTTGGTAGGAGAAAATCTTCACCCTTACAGATTTTTATTTTTAGTTACTTAAGAAGAGTTTCCACAGCAATATACAAAGAAATATCATGTAATTCTCATAAAATACTGACCACTAGAGATTCTTTTTTATGGAAGTACAACCCAAGAGCATGAAAAAAGTTCTTTGTGAAAATTCTTCTTACCAAAGTGCATTTCTTAATTTCCACAGGTTTACTATTTAACATTGAAATAAATTCAATAAACATACATTCATGTAATTTATTTTAATATAATTCAATTTTAACTTCAAAAAAGCTTTTGAAACTTTTAACTTCAAAAAAAAAGTATCACACCTTAAACCTAAAGCTCTTTGTTAAAATGCTGTACGTAATTTTCTCAAATCACTGGCTTCCTTCTCAAATGGTGATACTCAGTAAAATAATATTAAATTTATTATTTTCAATATTATCCTAGATAATATGTTAAAATAATAATGAGATATCATTTTCACTTAGCAAAGAGAGCCAAAGTTTTTTTCCTATTTATATATGTTTCACAACACTGTCAAGAGTGTTACAAAAGAACCAATCCCACTTAATTATGGTTCAAGAAACATAAAAAGATCCATCCTTTAATCCATTTTTGAAAAATATACCCTAAGAAAATAATTCCATGTTAGAAAGAGCTGTGTGCATAAAGACAGTATCAGCAACAGTACTTACAATAGCAAAATATATACAACATACTAGTAATAAGGGAATGGATAAGTAAATTACTAGAAAACAGTTTTCAACTTCTCAGCAGTGAAACCCTTTCTTCAAATAAAATCTTTCACAGAACCATAACATATAATATAGATAAAAGCAGAATTGGTTAAAGCAAAGGAAAGAGCCAGAACTGGAGTCTGTCCTTCCCCCTAACCCTTCCACCTGGTACACCTGAGACTCCCTCACAGTTTCAAGGAAAGCACAGTGAATACCACTGGACTAGCTGGAATATCCAGTAGGTCTCCCAAATCTTGTCTACAATCACTATGTAACAATGTGGAAACATTTTGGTGATTTTGTCATGGAAAAGTGGTTCAATATTTATATGCATACATAATTAAAAACTAAATGAACTATTTCATTTAGTAAGAAATGTAAAGGAAAAAACTACATGAACATAGTAAAACATTAAAAGTAGCTGCCTTTGGGTGGTGAAGCTTCTATATTTCTATATATTTATTCCTCATTTTCCTTAATAACGTTTCACTTTTATACTAGGGGAAAATTAACTTAGAGATCTCACTGAGTGACTGGTACTAAAGAACTTTTCCATCAGAGTGGAGTCTGGTCAGTTTTGAAGGTTAAGTCCATGTTATGTAATTACACATAAATAAGAGACCGGCACTAAATATTTACAAGAATAAATGATAAAACTAACACAAATCTACCAAAGTCCTCTCCAATTCTGAAAGGTATCAACATAACCCTCATCCTCCATTCCTCCACAGTGTTTTCAGTTGGGGTTGCTAAATAATTTTTAAGTCAATCTATACACTTTACTTAACCTAGCAACTGCCTTACAACCTCTGGCAAACTGCAAGTCAGTAAATAGCAACTACACAAAGTGTCTCTCAGGAAAGAGCCCCAGAAACTATCAGAACAGGGTGGTTCTCCCATGGTTCCTTCGGAACAGAAAGTTGAACTTGTCACCTAAAACCACGTAATAGTTCCTGTGATTTTTTCCATGAAGCCGCTTTGTCCTTTTGAGCTTGACAACCGTGACCCGTGATAGTCGTAAAACATAAAGTAGAACACGACAAACACTGCCAAACGCAAACCTCAGGTACAGGTAACACACATCAATGGTTGGAGCCTCATGTATGTCCTTTCCTCCATATGCTTTTCTCAGAAAAGGACCATTTGTAATAAAAAGCTGTGTGATTGTTTTTGTTTTAAAGAAAGGTGTTTACATACACACACACACACACACACATATTCACACATACATATACACACACACAGTTGACTCGAACTATATAAACTGTGTAGGTCTACTTATATACGGATTTTTTCCAATAAATATGCAGTAGGCCCTTAGGATCCACAGGTTCCATATCTGGGCATTAAACAAACCACTGTGTTCCTACTATGTTTATCATCCCAGGTTGGTTGACTGCAAGGACGTGGAATCCACGGATAGAAGGGTTCAGCTATGGGACTCGAGTATCCCCACATTTTGGTATCTGTAATAGGTCATGGAACCAATCCCCCCAAAAGGTGAGTGAGTGGGTGGGTGGGGGTGTGAGTGTGTGGTTGTGTGTGTCAATAAAAAAGTATTCACACAACATGTTTCTTAAAGTATAAAGGGAGATTAGCAAATGTGAGGAGAAATGCTTCTATCTGTAGATTCCCAAGCTGTTCAGTGTGGGGCAACTCAAGTAATTCTTAAATCAGTTCTGACTCTGCTCCCCAGCCTAAATGAAAGACCCCTGTTAAAGCTACAGGAGCACCAATATCTTTTTTTGACCATCGCAAGAGAAGAGGTGCTTACAGTGATGGACTTCATAATGAGTTTTAATAGGATATAATAGGAATTTTAAAATCACAGCAACAAAAAAACCTTAGATGATTTCTGGTGTATTATATAAAAGTCTGTTTTCAAATGTTTCTCAATTATCACAAATCATGTTATTTATAGAAGGAAGATATGCTCTGTTACAGTGTTATATTTTCTGATCACTAGACAACTTAGTAATAAACTATCTTACCTATGTGTACAAAAACACAGTGTCTCTGGACCCACAAGTTTACAATCCACTCCAGTTGGTGATCGCCAGCTCACTAATAATCTGTTCTGTAAGCGCATAGGTAAGACTTTTCTTTTGTATTCTTCGTATTCTTCAGGAGTAAAAAGTTTCCCTCCATCATCCTCACCGACAATTCTACAACAAGAAATACTTCTCTTGAGTCTTGGGTATTATTTTCCAGGTTAAAAACACTAACCTCTAAAATTAAACTATACTTGTATAGTCAAAGGAAATGCTGCTTCAGCTTTATTTTTTTACTTAGGTTCATGTTAATAGCAAAACTACACACAATAGTAATAAAGCTTTTGCTCCCCGTATCAAAGAGGATTATAAAAAAGAAAGTCAATGAATTCATAACATCTGACTTTACGGATCCAGTTTTACCACTGGAGAATTACCACATATTCATCTCAATTTCTCCTTTGATTCTGAAGCAAACATGTTCATTCTTCTCATTAAAAGCTGGAGCCTAACTGCTAAAAATTCTAACATTTTCCTCCTTTAAAAATAGTAACCCTACCCCCCAAAAAGTACAGAGAACATCAACACAGAAGACAACATAAATACTGTCCATATCTGACTTCAAACCCTGACCAGAAGTTTAAACTAAGGTGGGACCCACAACCACCCTTGGATCTGCACCTGCTCAAATCCCCATTGGTGCTGAGAAGTCAGGTGCATCCTTGTTTAATTCCTGAAGTAAGATTTCAAAATTTTACAGGAAAAAATTAAGCCAACACAAATTTCTTAAGAGATTAGGAATTGGCTTCCCTGGAGGAAAAGGAAGCACAATTAAAGCGTTTGTTCAAAGCTGAAGAAATCTCTTCTTGAAAATACACCCTTTAAATGTTATGAAAAGTGTTGTTTGCAGAATGCCACATAATTTGGGGCCAATTCATACCTTTTTCTACTTTCAAGCCTTTAGCTGAGGTAGGTAAGATCAACTCAGAAGCTATGAATCATCACAACCTTCCTCATTACTTAAAGTAATTAGATACACAATAGTAAAAAAAAAAGGGGGGGGTAATTTTATTCTGAGATAAGTTTTGGGTCATTTCACTTTATTGCAGCTACCAAGAAGTATACCAACAGGTACTAGAAAGACATTTAGACCAATGCATATCTATCTTAAAAGAAAGATCATTTGCATTTAAGTTCTAAACCGGTGTAGCTCAAACTTTATTTTATTTACAGAATCCCCAAGAGGTCTAGTTCAAATGCATATTCAGATAAATTATGTCTGAAGTGGGTCTGGTGATGCTCCCAGGTGATGCATACACGGCTGGTCCATGACTGCTACACTTTGAGCAGCAAGGCTGTAACTTTTATAGAGAATTATACCAGACTGTTTATCTTTGGAAAATAATTTCCTACCAGACCCTAATATTTTCTGGGCTAGGCAAGAGACTACAACTAGAGGCCCACAATCCACATACCTAAACATCTAAATATCTAACTTGCCGGTCAACACCAGGGCCCAGCAACCTGCTCCCAGAGAAAAGCCCTGGAGATTTGGAGGCTAAAAGAGCCGGCTCTGCCCCAGGTGAAGACTGGATGGAAGCTGTTCTGGGCACAGGGCTCCTGGAGTTACCTGAACCAGGAATGAGGCCTGACCCATTAAGCTTCTCACATTCACTTTTCTGGCTTAGAATTAACAGGTATTTCTAGGCGTTACTCAAAAGTATACCACCTATATAGGCAGTCGGAGGAAGTGCAGTCAGCTAGGAACCCGTATGCCCAAGTGCTGTGGGGCGACTGCCTTTAAGCAGAGGCAGGTACCATCAGCCTTTGTCAGGGTCCCAGAGAGGGCTAGGGGCGGCTGAGCGACCAGTATGGGAAGAAGAGTTTCTCCAGAACCACCGAAACTACACCAGTCGGTGTATTTCTCCTAAAACCAGCAACTCAGGATTAGGAGAACGTTTGAAGTTCACGACTAAACTTTAAATCTGCTTTTATAGGCCCCGAGCACTCAATACGCGACCTGCAGTGACCGTTTAGAAAAAAACAATTGGATATCTTCATAAATCTACAGTTAATAATCCTTGAAAGGGGTCAGAACAGGAGACCTCTTAAGTCGCCCCGAAAGGCATTTATTAGAATAGACCTGAGTGTCATTACAATATTTAATTACAGAAAGAGGAAACCTGAAGTCAAAGTAAGCCTCCCCCGCCAGCCCGGGAACGGATTCCGGGAGCCCCGGCGAGACGGCGCCGGGCCCTTTCCCCGCCACCAGCGCTCCTCCCGCGAGAGGGACCGAGCTCGCCACAGGCATCCTCGCCCCGCGGAGCCGCCGCCTCACCTCCGGTACTCCAGGTACTCGTCCACAGCCGCCGCACCGCCGGGAG